ACTGTACTAGTCATCTCGGATAAAACTATATTCATCATATAATATGTGCTATACAAAATGTTACGCACAAAATAATATTATATATAAATCATTTATACTAATTGTAATATTACAAAAATCTTTACATAATCTCTACAAAGTCTATACATGTTAAGCCTATAATTTTCGATAGTAATATAATATTGATATTGTCTACAAAAAGTTTAGTCATGTTTGTCTTGTAAATCTATTGTGGTTTATCGTAACATACAAGTTGACACCATATTTTACACTAGTCTACGTATGTAAAGGGGTTTTTAAATATGTATATTATACCAAAGTATTATTATGTACTCAATTGTCAAGAACAAATAAAGAAACAAAAAAACACGGTACCGCCTAGACTACCTACAAAAGCTATGCATGTGAGCACCAAGAAATAATACCCTGTAGAAATAGTGTTACTAAAGCATGACGCAAATGGCAATGTTATTTAAAAATAACAGAACGTGCATGTTTTAAAAAAACACGTGTGCCGGATAAAACATTCGTTAGCAATAAACAATTTTGTTTAGCGTTTCAAGAAATAATTGTCAAATATTCCTGATATTTTTTTAGCACAATAAATCAAAATGTTAAATTTATTATTATACCGAGCTTTAAGTCAGAAAATCATTGATGAATATGTTTTTTATTAAAAGCAACCCGTTCAAATAGTAAAATAAGTTGGACACAAGATGGACTGTGTGCTACCTATAAATTAAGATGATAAGTGACTTTCCCAAACATACAAAGTAGGTACAACGAAAACTATGGTTTATGTACGGGCACAATACATTTCTAGTTGGGCTGAGTTATTAAAAATTGTATCAAATTTTTTTCCAGTATTTTAAATATTAATTACTGAACATTAATTATTTTTAACACGTTATAAGGTACATTTCCATTAGGTTTTTTAGTAACGCTTTCGATTTTTTTGGATGTATGCCAAAGCAGACAAAAAAAATTAAATTAAAAACCAAAAATGACACCTACTTGAGTATGAAAACTTAATAGTGTCATTCTGATTGAAATCTCAATGTGTATAAAAAGATTAAGAAAAAATAAAAATTAATTTCTTATTAAACCCTATGAGATATTGAGTTTTACACGATAAAATTAATATCCTGTATATGTATATACTCGGAACATCAAAGGCCATTAGGTGACGTTTAACACATTAGTGTCATATTTAAAGGCTTTAATTATTAAGTTTCGTACTATTTTTGTGCCATTTAAATAAAATATTTAATTTTTATTTTTATTACTTGTTTAAAAATGATTCTATACTATTAATCAAGCTTAATCATTTCCACAATCTATGTTATGATATTAAAAAAATTATGATTTTTGGAGTTAAATCCAATTATTATGTTATTTTTGCTTAGAAAATATGTTATTAGGGTTTTATAAAAGTAAGAGATATACTATTTTTTCAATATTATATCAATTATAGAAAATATGAGGTTTGATTAAAACCAAATTTAAAAAAGTTTTTCATCTAGTATGTTATGTCAATGTTATGGTATGAATCATAAAAACATATTCTGTTTTCAGCTTTGATGAGGAGCAAAAAGTTAGGTATTAGATTTACGATGATGTACTTTATTTGCTTCGTATCTGTACCCATGATAAACTACTCATTTATAATTTCGAAGCAGCATATTAAATCAATGTAAATTAAGATAAAATACATAAAAAGGAATTTCGCAGCCAAATCCAACACGATATGTTATTTTTTAAAAATAAATTCAATTTTAATACGAATTTTCAAAACATATTTTTTCTCGTAGCTTACGTGCATAGCTCGTGTAGGTACAAAAACACCAAAGGTTGTTATGTACATATGTAGGTTATTGTAAATATTGTCCACCTTTATACTATTATAAGCCACAATAGCTTTACAAGTAAAGCATGATTTTGTAGATAATATCTAGATTATATTACTATTGAAATGTATACTTGCTAAATGATTTGTTCTTAATATGGTATAAACAAAAACTACTTCACCCTCAAAATCGGAAAACCCCAAAAAATTCGATAACAGCTGTGAACACATTAGCATAATAGCTAATGCTTGATAAATATCTAAATAAACAATTGACACAACAATATATTTTGTTATTATAGTTTTGATGATTGTCCTATTCTATGAAAAATGTTCTACTATTTACCTTAAAAAATATGTTATTATAATAAAACATGTTTTTTATCAAAACACTTATTCGGCATAAAAATATGTTTTACTTCACTTTACGCTTAATTATTGTTTCAAAATAGCAAAAGCGTTCTAAAGCAAACTAAAACTTTTAATAACATACTGTTGTTTGATAAAATATTATTTACATTATTAGCATGTTATTCTTCGAGAATGCACTATAAATATAACTTACCAATCGATAATAAAATCACTTTTATCTTTTTAAACTAAATTTTAAACTACTCAAGAAGATTAAAAAAACAGAGTATGAATATAAAATACATTTTGGTTTTGTGTTTTACTATACATTTCTTGGGTCAAACTGTTGCGTACATGCGCACAGTTCAAGAAGCGGTAAGAATCATGCAAACTGAATAAACGATTAGGTTTATATGCTAAATGTAGTAAATTAAATGGTTACCTAACGCGGTCCTTGGCATTTCATTTTCTCTGAGATATTCATTCACATGATTTGTCTCTCCCAGAATTTCCAATAATTGAGCCACAGTAAGAGGAGTTCTCTGGCCTGAATTATTGTTACTACTTATTACAAAACGGTCTCTTGCTGAATCGTCTCTAAGCTGTAAAACATTGAAACACATCATTTTTATATTCATACTCTGTTTTTTTAATCTTCTTGAGTAGTTTAAAATACGTGTTTATTATCTTCTTATAAATTGTATTTTTTTTTTTAATTAAAAATATGGTTAGGTTAGATTTTTTTCGTTAAGTTTCCTTTGTATGTAGATTATTAGCTTCGATGCAAAGCGAGAAGGTATTTTAAATTTTACCTAGAATTGCGTTGTATGTTTTATTATTGTAAGCAAAGTTGTGCATCATTCAAATAAAATGTTCTCTAGATAATCATCTAGATAACAAATAAATATAAACATATTAAAAGTAATTCGAAAAATTTTTATTATATTTATAACAATTGTAGCGTTTAAATTTACTTACCTTTTAAGACTTTGGGTTATACCCGGCTATAATTTTTAATGATGTGTTTCAATGTTTTTCAGCTTAGAGACGATTCAGCAAGAGACCGTTTTGTAATAAGTAGTAACAATAATTCAGGCCAGAGAACTCCTCTTACTGTGGCTCAATTATTGGAAATTCTGGGAGAGACAAATCATGTGAATGAATATCTCAGAGAAAATGAAATGCCAAGGACCGCGTTAGGTAACCATTTAATTTACTACATTTAGCATATAATAAAAGCTTTCTCTAGAATTTATGCAAAGCTGTGGGGCAGGAGATTTTAGGAAGTATTTTCATTCGAAAAAAAAAAAATGAAACATACATTTTACTTTTTTTTTATATAAAACTTGATAAATATTATTCTAAGACAAAATTTTATCACTGTAGGCCGGAAAATGTAAAAAGTAGTAGAACGATTCATATTTGAAAACTGACTTTTGTCAACATTTTTCTTGGGAAACTACTTACGAGTTTGCTTATTAATACATTATGAACAGACATTCAAAAGTTACGCAGCTAAATTTTACATTATTTGTTGTAATAACTATGGTTATCTTAACTGGATTTTAACTTGTAATAAAAAAGGCCAACAGCAATCATTTTAATTTAGTTTATGCCTTTTTCCGACATAAAACATTGTTTTTAAAAATAAACGTTGTATCTATGGAGAACGTTAAATAGTCATATCAGAAAATCCAAATATTGCTAATTAAATAATCGTTACTCAAACAACATTCCACAGCTTTTATCTGTCAAAAAATATTTTTATTAACTATTTTCTCAAATAAGTTGGTTTTATTTTTAATTACAATTTGGGTGTTAAAAGTTACTCTGGCCAAGTGTAAAAGAGAAAAAATGTGTTATGTAGATAGTTAATAAAGTAACTCTCACTCTAATGTTTAAGGCCAATGTATGGTGGGTAGTGTAACTATGGTTCTTTAATCATTTTCCTGGATACTGGATACATTGTAATGACTCAACAACAATAGTGTTACCTATTCATTGTTTGTTTTAGATACTGTAAATAATAAAATATTCGGGAATATCCTGTTTTACATTTGCGGCAAAAAGAGAACGACAATAAGAGAATATTTTTAACTTTTTTATTAACGCATAATTTTGTAAGTATAATTTTAGAAATATTATTCGAATAAGGTTTTACACAATTCTAAATGTGGGCAAACCATGAAATAGGCAATTTGCTATTAAATAATAATAATAAGTAATGCATTGTTAATAATAAATAGTATAGTATAGGATATATCTCTGTATATCAAATAGTATAGTAAATTCATCTTTGTGTCTTAAGTATTTTATTTTTTTAAATAAATTAAATAATGATTATTAAATTAATTTTGAATAAGTTACTTTGGTTAATTTTCTATTTTCGATTAACTTATTCGCAAAAAACATACTTAGGCCATGAACCTAGCATAGAATATAACACCTAACATCTATAATATTATTCATTCGTGGTTTTAGATCAATTAAATAAAGTAAGGGCGTGTCAGTAGAAGATTTTTTAGGACCGAGACAATGATTCAATACGTTGTGTTGGGCTATTATTTTTGTTGCTACTGTTATTATAAAATATTAATTTTTTAATCGTTTAAGAAATTATAAAATGTAATGTACTAATAAAATATAATAAATATGGGTTGAAAATATAAAATTGTTATTTGTAATTATTTGAAATACAACCGGGATGGTTACTTTTCCTCTTATAAATATCTTCGGGTTTTTTAAATCCGGTAGCCCATAAAATTAATATTTATGTTCGCATTGTTTGATAGGAGTACACCGACAACTAGGCACAATGACATGTTTTGAGATAATAAGAAAAGACCGGCTTTTATAACCTAAACACTAATGAATCCCTCAAAAATATATAGAACAAAATACTAGTCTGTTTTGTTATAAAGGGCTTTCGCCAAATTTTTACCGAGCCTACAGAAATAATCGGAAAAATAAGTGACTATTTGAATACAACCAGTAGAAACTCAAGCTTGGATCTAAAGTTTCTCATTTACAAAAGGCTAAAATGGTATGCTAGTAAGTATAAACTATTAGGCAAAAACCATTCAACAACACGATATGGTATTTTTTTTAAATAAATTCAATTGTACTAAACATTTTCAAAACATATTTTTTCTCGTAGCATACATGCAAACCTTGTGTAGTTAGTACATGCGATTTAACAGGTTTTTTTGTTTGTTGTTTGTTTCGGGCCACTGAGTAGATGTTAATACTTTAACAAAACATACACATAAAAAAACACTTTAACATACGTAGACAATTGTAAATATTGTCAACTTTATATTATTATAAGCCACGCAATAGCGTTACAAGTAAAACATGATATTGTAGTTAATATCTACAATCTGGATATGTCTGGATAATATTACTATTGAAATGTTTACTTGCTAAATGATTTGTCCTTGTGGTATAACAAAAACCACTTCTTCAATCTTAAAATCGGAAAACCCCAAAAAATTCGATAATAGTTGGATCGAGTCGAAATTAATGAGCATAGGAAATTCGTTTTTATAACAGCAATTTTTATTTGGATTGCAATGGATTGCAAACAGGATACCAATCGAAATTCTTTAATTTTTAAAAAAATAATCTAGCTTTTACAATAAGGCGGTTAATATGAGCTAACATCTATTGAGAATGCACTATAAATATAACTTACTAATAGATAAGAAAATCACTTTTATCTTTTTAAACTAAATTTTAAACACGTATTTTAAACTACTCAAGAAGATTAAAAAAACAGAGTATGAATGTAAAATACATTTTGGTTTTGTGTTTTACTATATATTTCTTGGTTCTAACTGTTGCTTTCAATAGTGGTACAGCTGATAAAGTGGTAAGAATCATACAAACAGAAAAAACGGTTATCAACTTGTAAATTGTATTTTCTTTTTGTTTTTAATTAAAAATATGGCTAATAGATTTTTATCTATAAAGTTCCTCTTGTATGTAATTTTTTAAAATTTTACCTAGCATTGGGTAGTATGTTTTGTTATTGTAAGCAGAGGTGTGCTAAAATATAACAAAGCTCCGGGCGAAGACATGATAGGAGCCGAACTATTAAAAAAAGGAGGGGAACTAATTATTAATGATAAGAAAAACTAAATATATGGTGTAACGAGAGGTAATCAATGAGATCAAAACAGAAGTTTAAAGATCTAAATAATCATCTAGATAACATATACGTTCTACAGCAAGCTAAAATGCTTAAAAACATACTGTTGTATGATAAACATTTATTTTCATTATTAGCATGTTATTCTTCGAGAATGCACTATAAATATAACTACCAATCCATAAAAAAATAACTTTTATCTTGTTTAATTGAAATTTGAACACGTATTTTAAATCGCTAAAGAAGATTAAAAAAAAAAGAATATGAGTTTAAAATACATTTTGGTTTTGTGTTTTATAAATTTCTAGGTTCAAACTGTTGCGTTCGGAACTCCTTCAGCCGATGAATTGGTAAGAATCATGTAAATTGATCAAACGGTTACTTATCATCGTGAAAATTGTATTTTCTTTTTTTTTTTTTAATTAAAACTATGGTTAATATGTATTTTTTTTTTATTAAGTTGTATGTAAATTTTTGAAATTTTACCTAGAATTGAGTAGTATGTTTTGTTTTTGAAAGCAGAGTTGTGCATCATTCAAATGGAATGTTATCTATATAATCATCTAGATAACATATAAATATAAACTTATTAAAAGTTACTTGAACAATTCATATTATAGCGCTTAAATTTACCTACCTCTTAAGACGTTAGGTTATATCCGGCTATAATTTTTAATGATGCGTTTCAATGGATTTCAGGCTATAAACAATTTTGTAGCACAAAGTAACCAACATTCAGGCCTGATAAATGCTCTTACTACGGCTGAATTATTGAATATTGTGGGCGAGAAATATAAAAATTATGTGCATATTTATCTCGGAGCAAACGATAAGACAAGAGACGACTTAAGTAACCATTTGATTTACTACATTTATCATATAATATAAGACTTCTCTAGAATTAATGCAAAGCTGCCAAGCAGGAGATTAAGGAAGTATTTTCATTCGCAAAAAAAAAAAAAATTAAACGTATACATTTTTAAAAAAATTATTAAAACTTGAATGAAGTATTATATTTACAATATTTTTAATTATTCTTCTTGGCATAGAGATTAAATTTTCACAAAAAACATACTTAGGTTATAAACCTAGCATAATAGATTATGACATCTAACATCTATAATATTTATCAATGATGGTTTTAGATCAAATAAATGATGAGCTATTCTCGAATATGGTGAGATTCATTTGCTACCATAAAGCCATGCCAGTAAAAGACTTTTTATGTACGAGACAATGATTCAGTACGTTATGTAATGGGATATTATTCTTGTTTCTAATAGTATTTTAAAAAACTTATTTTTAAATCGTTTGTGAAATTAAAAAATGTAATGTATTAATAAAATATAATAAATATGGTTTGAAAATATAAAATCGTTATTTTGATTTATTTGAAATATAACAGAAATGGTTACTTTTCCTTTTATAAATGCCATATGTGTTCCAGGTTTTTTAATTCCGGTAGTCCATAAAATGTATATTTATGTTTGCATTGCTGTATAGGTGATTACATCTACAACTAGATACGATGAAATATTTTGAGATAATAAGAAATGTGCGGCCTATATAACCTTAGCACTAAGGAATCTCTCAAAAATATTTTAAACAAAATACAAATTATTAAAGGGCTGTTGTCAAATTTTTACCAAGCCTAAAGAAATATTAGGAAACATAAATGCCTATTTGAATACGACCAGTAGAAACACAAGTTTAGATCTAAAGTTTCTCATTTAGAAAAGACTAAAATGGTATGCTAGTAAGTAATCAACTACTTACACTGTGTCATGATGATTTTAAGCAGAAACCATTTAACCATGAAGGACAATTTAAAAAATAGAAACTAAAATATTAGAATGTTTTTTATTTATTTTCAACTGGACAGAAAAGAAAGAAGTTCCAGCCCGCCTCTCAAAAAAATCATCCTATCAAAGTGAATATATCTATACACTGTGGCTAAGTGTGTTTTATGGCTCATACAGTAACTGTTCAAGGGTTAAGCAATATAAAAAAAACAGATGTATGAATATATTTTTTTTATTAAAAACAAACCCAAAAAAGTGTCATACTATTAAAATTACTTAAAATTTTTATTTCACCTAAATTATTCAGTTTTAAGATTTAAACTGCGCTAAAAGTATAGGATGCATAAAGGTGATAGTCATTTATTTACATTGCAATAGTCATTGTAAGAAACAACAAGTTTTTAATAAAAAGTTAACAATATATAACTATACAAATTGTGGGAAAATATTGTGTTCAGTTTTAAAAATTGTATCGTTAATCGTTTTGTGCAATTAAGACATTTTAGCTAAATAAGTTGAATACATAAAATATTAATGATCAGAAATAAAATAGTTCAAAGGTTAAATTCCAAAAAGAAACCACAAAACAAAATACGTTAAGATTAATAACTTGTTTTTGAAAAAAAAACAATAAGTTATTTGAATAAAAAAAAAATAAAAATAAGAACTGTTTTTGAAAATTATGCAGATTTTTATGATTTTAAAGTATGTGATATCCACAGGAATTAATCATTTGTTTTCATTACACCAGTCGCTGTAAAAATCATTTGCTTATTATTTCAAGATGTTTAAGAAAAAGTATTATGTTCGCAATTTATAATAAGTATAATAGCAAATTAAAAAATATATTTTTAATTATTGTAATATCAGTGTTCTAAAACGCGAGAGAATAAATGGTATAAACATTTAGGTACAAAAATGATAAAACAAAATATTTTTTTTTTATAACGTTTTTATGAACTCACAATCTTGTTTGTCGTTCCGGGTGGAATCTTGCAACTCAAATTTCGAGCACTTCCCGATTAGCTATCCGGCTTAAACTTCCAGGGTAGCTCACAATTCGATGACAATGCATTATTAATCCACAAGAAAATTCCACTCCTAAGGGGGTTAAAATGGGGTCGATTTCTTATCCGTCGTTCCGGGGGAATCTTGCAATTCAAAAAGACTTATTTCTCACCTGTCAGCAAAAATTATGCGTGGTGCGTTTGGGCGTGAACGGTGCTCGGATATGAGCGGTACCAGGTTCAAACCCGTTCCCATCATTAAACTTTTTTGCATTTTCTTACAACTTTTATTCAACTTTTATGATAATTTATATAGTAATTACTACTTAATTTCAACTTTTATGATAATTTATACAGTAATAAATTTAAAATTATAAGCTTTTAAATTGATTACTAATTCTTATGATAATCCTTCTGACCATGCAGCAATAACATTGTACATTTAAATGTTTAGATACGTACGTACGAAAACGAAAAAGAACAAAATAATTGAAGTAGATTAAAAAATTAATCTAAAAATAACGTTTTTATGCGCCTTTAAAAGTATAAAATAACCCTCCGGGGGTCTTGATAACCAAATAGGACAGATGAACTAGAAAAACGTGGGGCGCATCTTTACTACTTTACACGTCTGAGTATATAACAACATTCTCTTCTCATTAATAACTACCTTAACTCATAATTCATGCACAATCATCTTTTCTCTTCTAAATAAAATAATACTTAATGACATGTCATGTAAAATTGAGCACCACATTACTTTAAATGTTAAGCAAGTAGGTAGTTAACTAAAAATTGAAGAAACCTACATAAAACAAACTTTGGAGAGAATAGCAATTAAGTCTTTTCAATTTGCAATGAAATTTAAGGCAAGTGGCACGGAAATCCATTAAATTTTATTCCCAAAAAAAGTCATACTATCACTTTCTGATCCGTTCGGTTAGAGAGACAACTTAATGCATTAGCATGAAAGCTTAGGTTTTAATATCTAAGTAGAAAGATGCGCCCCACGTTTTTCTAGTTCACCTGTCCTATTTGGTTATCAAGACCCCCGGAGGGTTATTTTATACTTTTAAAGGCGCATAAAAACGTTATTTTTAGATTAATTTTTTAATCTTCTTTAGTTATTACTTTAATAAAATAATATACTTAATTTTTTTGAAACAAATTTTATTTTGATGCTTGTGTTTGAATGCATTTTAGAATGTTATTGTTATAATATTTGTGGCGAGTACCTATTTTTTTTTTAATTCACATACAGTTAATGTATTGCGTTTTCGAAAATGTCTTATAATTATAACTTATTACAAGAAGTTTTTGTAAAATCATTTATCGTCTAAATTGTAATCCAATATTGTATTATTATTTTTTTTATCAAAACTAAGCTGCTTTTTACAGCGATTGTTGTAATGTAAACAAATGGTAAGTTCTTATAGGTATCATAAACTTTAAATATTATAAGAATCTTCGTATTCTATAAATACAATTTGTATAGTTTTATTACTTATTTTTTACCGAAAATCAGTTGTTTTTCTTAAAATATTTTGTTTTGCAGTTGTTTTTGTATTGAAATGTATGACCCATTTTATTTCTTGCACGGTAGCATCTTGATGTTTCAATAATCATACAAAGTACACAACAGACTGTTGAAATGTAAACAAATGACTGATAACTGTTGGCCTACATTTTTAAGTTTTTACATAATAAGAACAGTTATGTGTATACTATACAGTAAAACATTTTATAGATTTTATTCTGTTGTTTGTGAAAAATAAGTTTTTTGTTTGAACGTATATTATATTTCCATTTTAGATAATAAAGGAATCTCTGAATGTACCAACACAATAATTATAAAATGTGTTAATTAGAAAAACAAGATGTCCATAGTGATGTAATTTGGATTAGATTACATAATTTTTAAACATTCGAATATTCGAATAATTGTATAATAATATACATTTCGAATAAAATTGTAATTCCTACTTTTATTGATATTCAATAATGTACAAAACCTAAATTATAACTATTTTTATAATATAACTGGGTGCTGTGATATTTTAGCTTTGTATTTTCAATTTTTTTTTTGGTATTTCGAATGTTTTACTATATTACATGGTGCAATGGAAGAAAAATTATAGTTTAAACATTTAAGTACACAAATAACAAAACAAAATACTTTTAAAACCAGCTTGTTTACAAAAAAAAAACTATATCATTTCTGTAATAGTAGTTTTTGAAATGTTAAAACTTAATAATGTACGAGTATACCTACAGTTGGTTGTCATTATTTATACTACAACAGTTTTTGTGAAAAACAACTAGTTTTCGAAAAGTTAGAAAATAAAATTATAGAAATAGTTGAAAATGTATTGTATAATGTAAGAAAATAAATCGTTAAAAATTTGTGTGAACATACGGATAAAATAAACTTCATAACTCATGTTGAACGCATATTATATTAATGATTAAACTTATAAGGGTTCTGCATGTATTTTTATGACTAAAAGGGTGAAATAACATCATTTATATTATTATGTTATGTGGTTATACCTTATCCTCAATTGCTCAATAATCTACTGAGTTAATTAAGAAATTTTATTTTTATTTTACATAAGGTTTTTATGCAATAGAATCTTAATATTTCATCATTTTTTTTTTACACCCCCCCCCCCCAACATGGGTTTTTTGTGAATAACTCTGTATATAAAATTATTGAAAATGATGTGCTTTAAGAATTAGCGGATAATTACATTATAATGTATAATTATAAAATCATCTAATAATTAGGAAAGGTGCAGTTTAGTATTTACATTTTTATCTGCGCGCACTTCCCTTCTTATCCTACCTTTTGAAATCTTATAACACTAAAAATAGTTGTTAAAAACTGGTCATACAAATTTAGTACATTAGTGTGATGTTTAGATGCTTTAACTATATATTTTTGTACTATTTTTTTGCCATTCAAATAAAAAATGTAATTTGTATTTTGATTATTTGTTTAAAACATTTTCAATACCAT